CCCCCCCCCACAGATAGTGAAAGAGAGAGACAAGGGGAACCAAGGTTAAGACATAAAGAGATTTGGGTACTGTTCTTTATTTTACTTTTTAACTTTTTTACCATTAAAACAGGTACAAGAAACATTCTTGCTTCAGTTTTGTTTGTCACATTTACTTTTTTTGGATTAAAGATATGAGACTGGTTTTTCTCTTTTAGCTGACTTTAAAATGTGTGACTAATTTCTGTGCTTAGTGTTTAAACCATAGAGCAATAAAAAGATGAAGTATACTGATGAAATAAAACATTTTGGATTCTTGTTTTAAAAAAATATGTTGTCTTCTTTGAAAGGAAAAGAAGCCAAAAGAAAGTATAATTCATTGCACTGTGGTGTCTCAAAAATATTTCTGCTTTCAAACAGGAATTTTTTTTTTCGAGAATTCCACATCTAGGATCAGTGAAAAAGGGACAAAAACAATCTATTCTTCCTCTTCTGTTTTTCAGTTGAGTGTCAGTGGCATCTATTAATATTGTGTGGTATCAGAATTTATAATAAAAATTTTTTTAAACTTGTAATCAACTATGTTTTATACAAAAATAAAAATGCATGTTCATAAATGAAATATAAAAGTTGAAATTAATATACTTTCCTATGGCTACATTTATTTGTTACACTGTCCTGTAAGAGTAATACTATTATTTTTTGGCATATAGGGTGTGTTTATGTACATTTCTAATAGACATGAATTTGGACGACTATTATCAACTGCTAATTACAATACGTCTCATTATAACAATGACCTCTGGCAGATATTTGAAAACCCTGTGGTATGTGTTTTATGTTCAACTTCATTTGTTAATTATTTTTCTGTAATTGTAAGGATATAAATCAGTTGAGTAGTAACATGAAAATGAGATTAGAGGCTTTCAAAAATCACAGTTGTACTTCATGATGGATAGAGTAGATCTGAACTTGCCTAAAATGATTTGTATTTAAGACATATATTAGGTATGAAGAAGTAAATTATTAGTTTCTTCAGTTTCTCCCAATATTTTTGTCTAATATATTCAAAAATAACATCCTAATTTTCATCATAATTTGAAAAGTATATTTACAAATAGCTCATATATGATGATATTTTGATTTCATGAGGAAAATTCAAGCAGTTAGGAAAATATCACTACACATTTTTTTCTTTTTTTCAATTATATGAAAATAGAGAAAATTTCAGAGTAAACTTAATTCAGAATAAAAAAATTTTAAAGCACCTACTGGGTTTTTAAAAAAATTTGAGCCGCATACTAATTAGCTCCTTTTTCTTTTGCAGAGGTGTGTTTTCTTTAGTAAAGTTGGCATCTACAGAAGGGAAAATGCTATTTTAAATAATGTTACACTGCTACTTAAGAGTTTCCCCTGCCAACAGTAAAAATTTTAAGTTACAAAGAGTCGATTCACCTGATGAGACTTGTCTTTTAGTTTACAGGAGCAGCATGATCCCAAAATAGTAAAGTTAGTAGTCTGAAAACTCTTGATGAATAGAAAAAGGCTCACTGTTGATATTTTAGTATTTAAAAAGTATTCCAGTCCCATTTTATCTGTATATCTTCATGTTGCACAGGAATAGAATTAAAAGGAAGATTTTGGTGGCCAAAATAGAATTACATATTTTACTTGAGCACTGAACTTCTTCCTATTCTGAGGAATAGAATTATTTGGCTTCTTGAATAATATCAGGTTCCTGGCAAGATGTCCTAAATTATATTCTGAGCTGTAGACACTTATGGAAATATTCAAGTCTTTAAAGTCAAGAATAATGAGATAAAAACAAGAATTGAGTAGGAATTACTTTCTTTCCATGGCTTTGAGAAATTAGTTCTTCAATAAATTAGTCTGATCTATATTCTGATGGATGTCTCATTCCAAAATACATAGCAATTTTCCCAGTGTCAAAATTGTTAAAGTATTTGTTAAGTCACAGTTTGCTTAGTGACTTAAAAGGAAGTGTAAAATGAAAAAGTTAATATTAATGCTCTAATGTGAAATCATAGAAACTTCTTTAACGTCAAAAAAAAGTTAATAGGAAAAAATAGTATTTAACGAGTAAATGTTATGGATAAGTATTTAGTTTTTTTTTTCTCATTTTAGAATAAAAACTAATAAACTAGAGAAAATAATGAAATAACACAGAAATTTAATCCTCATAATTATATACTGTGTATAAATGATACTCTTTAAAGAATCTGAAGATAGTTTTGGTTTTTCCACGTAATAGACTTCAGTGGCTGAGAATGTGACTTAGTGGCACAGTGTTTGCTTAGCATTAATTGTTTGTGTCCACAACACTAAAAAATTATATAATCATGTAAATCTAAACATATAAATTAAAATGCTATAAATCATCAGCCCTCTGAAATCCAGCCTCAAAGATTTATTTCAGACAAGTGTCTTTTGAAGCATATTTGGATTGGGGTTATTTTGAGTCTGTGGCTCAACTCTTTGCTTTTGGCTTCCTAGGTTTTCTAATTATAAAGAAAAAATTAATAATTTGTTAAACATACTAAATAAATTTTCTTAAAAAGATATCGGAGGTTGTTTAAATTACTCCAAATTTTACTATATGCCTTCTTAATACGGGGTTTAAATAAAGCATTTGATCCAGAAAAAGAATTTCTTAGTTAATATTGAGAAAAAAATGAGACATTTTCATCTGTGGTTTATGAGTCAGATAATTGGTCAGAGGGAACAAGATTCATAAATTAAAATGATGAGGAACTATTTTCAACATAAGGCCCTAATCTTTAATTTTGTTTACTAATAAATGTGACCCCAGGTTAGTAAATCTAACCCCAGCATGAAGCTTTGATAAATATTAAAAATTAAAGAGAAGACAGAAATTTTAAATTAATTTAAAAAATAAAGTTTTTTAGTATGTCACTAGAGAAGTATAAACATGGCCCTAGTTTATTAATTCACTTATTATTTTTACTATTACTTGTTGGTAGGATTTTGATCCTTATTTTTCACTTTCAAACATCTGTACTTAATTACTCTTCAGTAATGCATAAAATGAAGCAGGCAGATGCAGTCATTATAAGATGGTTCAAGTTATAATACTCTGAGGCATAAAATGTTACACATAAAAATTTTGTGAGTCTTAGAGGTGCAGCTCAATGGTAGAGTACTGAAAAAAAAATGTTTCCTAGAATGATGTGAGTATACGAATCAGGCAAAGAGTAAAATATAAACTAGTTTACAAAATTCCTATTTTGTCTACTACATAGTCAATTGTTTAGTTTCTAAAATGTATATACTTCATGTTTGCCAGTATTTATTAGAATATATTTGCTTTAATATATACAACTCTTTCTTTGGTAGGACTGGAAGGAAAAGTACATAAACCGTGATTATTCAAAGATTTTCACTGAAAATATAGTTGAGCAGGTTTGTATTAATAATTAAGTTCTGTTGGGCATTTTTGTTTGATTTTTCAGAAGAAAATATTATTCAATACTACTTTAGTGGAAAATGTTGTGAAATTAGAGAAACTATGCAGGTAAAATTTGTGTGGGTTACTTGCCAATTATATGGCCTTAAGCTTACACAGTTATAAAAATGAAGAATAACAATTATTTTAAGATCATACTTTTCTTAAAAACTTGCTCCTGTCATAGTTTTCTAAAAGCAGTAAAGGAGACATTGTCAGATTTCTGATGTAGATCTCTTTTCAGAGTAAGTATATCTTTGAGATATGGGCTCTTTGGGAAACAATGTTTTCTTAGACCTTTTAAAAAAATGAACTCTTAGATAAGTTTTCAAAACTGTTGCCATACTCTGTTCTCAAAAATGTAAGGTATCTTCAATTCTAAGGTCCACATTTTTTATGTACCATTAGAAAGAAAAAATACTCCCAATTAAACTGTGATAATATTCATTTGAAATTTTCATATATATCAAAATTATTTTAAACTATGACACAGATGTTATTATGTCTTCTCGTGGCGGCACTGTGTTTTATAGCCCTGTCCAGATGTCTTTTGGTTTCCTATATTTTCTGAAAAAGCCTGTGATGAACTGGTGGAAGAAATGGAGCATTATGGCCAATGGTCTGGGGGAAAACATCATGTAAGTTGTAATTTCACACATAGGACTAAAATGTGTGTGTGCGTGTGTGTGTGTGTGTGTGTGTGTGTGTGTGTGTGTATGTACTTCAGGCGGGTAGGGGTGGCTATTCAGAGAATTCAGAAAGGATGTCTTTTTGTCACACATCTGAGTCCTTCACCTAACTGAATTGGCTGCCCAAGGCTATCAGTCTAATTTTATTGCTAGTTTTTAATGCTTAACTCAGTTATCTGTCTGGACCCTAGTTTCATTTATGTATGCATTTATACCATGTGGTACCTAAATGCCAGTGTCCTGTGGTTGGAGTTAGGTAAAACCTGTCTTTCCTGCTCTTCTTCAAGCCACTTTATTTTCTACATTTTTACAGTAAGCTGTAGTGAAAATACTAAGACAAACTTTATCTGATTGACTGTCAGAACTTTTTTGTGTAAGGATAGGAAAGAGGGATCTGTTTAGAATGACTTTGATGTAATTCTGTTTTGCTTTTGCATTCTGTTGCAAAGACATGGCAGGAAGTATTGCTGCTGTTGGTTCCATGTGTTTGTTTTCCTCTGAGCCCATAGATGCCAGCTCCTTAACAAAACCACGGAGTTTTAGTGAAATACTCAGGAATATTGATGCAGGATACCCAATTAATTACCACTACCCCATGCTAGTTAGTTGATCTGAGAAAGAGAAGTTCAAAGTACGAAGAAGAACATGAAGACAGTATGTTGCAGGATAATGAAAAAAAAAATCTTTGAAAGATTTTGGTTTTCAAAGAATAATAGTGAGGAACATCACAGGGAAAGCTTGTTATCAGTAGTTGATTATTCAAAGGACAAATAAGTGGAGTCTATGCTCACCAAACACCTAGGACCAGAGTCATGTTTTAAAAAACATTCTGTAGGTAAGTGAGAGGTAAGAGCTTAAAAAGTCAGTTTTATTTACTTTAAAGTTAAAACTCCTATATATGTTTAAGAAGTAAAGGAGCCCACTGACTCTGCAACACTTTGTGTCCTCCTTGATAATTTGCAAAGCTGTGTTATCTATTTTGATCATTTTATAATAAAGCAGATGGTATACCATAATTGAACAACAGTTATTTTTATTGTCTATTATGAGCTGTGGTTGAAAAAATGCCAGTTAATGTAAATGAATTACACAGGACTAGATTTTATGATGCATTAATGCTGTTTCTAGGACAGCCGTATATCCGGTGGTTATGAAAATGTCCCAACTGATGATATCCACATGAAGCAAATTGATCTGGAGAATGTATGGCTTCATTTTATACGGGAGTTTATTGCACCGGTTACGCTGAAGGTCTTTGCAGGCTACTATACAAAGGTAGTTATACTCCCCTCACCACTCCTCCCTACTTCTACCAATTTCTACAAATATATAGAGGTTTTAAGCAAATGTACTGGCTTACTTTTTAAATTTTTTTAGGGGTTTGCATTGTTGAATTTTGTAGTAAAGTACTCTCCTGAGAGGCAAAGGTCACTTCGTCCTCATCACGATGCTTCCACATTTACCATCAACATTGCCCTCAACAATGTGGGAGAAGATTTTCAGGTAATTACGACTCATATGTTTAGATTTTTCAGAAGAAATATGATATGATTAAAAGGGCTTTGCCTAGTCTCCTTTTTAGATTCTGCTTAGATTTAAATTTTGTTGCTGATTAAAAATTGAAAATAGTGAGCTGATACATTTGTTTGTTTTAATATTTTAGGGAGGTGGATGTAAATTTCTAAGGTACAATTGCTCTATTGAGTCGCCAAGAAAAGGCTGGAGCTTCATGCATCCTGGGAGACTTACACATTTGCATGAAGGACTTCCTGTTAAAAATGGAACAAGATACATTGCAGTGTCATTTATAGATCCCTAAGTTATTAACTTTTCATTGAATTGAATTTTCTTTTGGAATGGATGACTGACATGAGCATGTCTTTGAAGTTGTGCTCAAGAAGATGAGAGGAATATTTAAATAACTTCAACAGAACAGAACAACTTAACTTTGGACCAAACTTTTGAAAACTTTTTATAAAAAATTGTTTGATGTTTCTTAATGTGTGCTCTGAGCCTTAAAACAGTTTGAAGAAGAAAAGAAAGAAAAAAGTACAAGAAAATATTTATTTCTATGCTTTACTGTCTCTAAGAATAGTGATAGTTTTCTGAGTTTGTGTTTCAAATTGATAAAATATTCAGGTACAAATATACAAGTAATTAGCCTAATAATATTTTCTTATTTAAGAAAACCTGAGAAGAATTTTATTTATCAGCATATAAGGTAAATGTAGAAAGATGGATATAAATGAAAACTGGCAAGTTTTAAATGCTTGGAAATCTGATTCTAACTGAATTTGTATGTAATTATGTCACTACCACCTATGCAGTCCCTTTTGTAGTAGTTACTAAGGGAACATAAAGAAAAGATTATATTATGCAATATTTTTCCCCAAGAAATGTAGTATAAATACGATCAAGGATCTATATCATTGGAAGCATTTTTGGCTAGAGTGTTAGATGATTTTTTTGTTTGTCGTAGATAGTAAACATTATGTTCCTTCAGATGAACCTTTCAAAGTGAATTACACTAAGTTATATTACATGTAGGAAAGCTTACCATCCTTTTTTGTTTTCCAGTGCAAGTGTCCTTAAGTCAAAACAGGGTTTTTGTTTCTTTGATTTCTTTTTTATTTAATTATAGAATTGGAGAAAAGAAAAATTTCGTTGAGACTAGTAGTGTATTTTATAACTTTGAAAAGACCTTTTAAGTACTTGAATTTTATATCAGGAAAATAAAGTTTTTGAGCCTTGTTTTTTCCTTTTTTCTTTGTCTGTTTTCTTTTTGTGGGAGGGTTATTCAGTTACTCATTTTTTTTCTCTTCTGGGAATATCTCTGTTTTATCCTTTGTAGGCTCTTTATTGTTTTTCCTCTATCCTGCTTTAAAAAAAAACTCCCCACCAAAAAAAAATTGTTGACTTCATTTTTTACCATCTCTCTGAGTGAGATCTAAATGTCCTTATTGTAGCTACTGTTTTTAATTTAAAGGTTAAACTTGAAGTTCTTAATCATGGTGCCGTAATTCATTTTTCTAACACTATGTGTTAAAAATTTTTGATAAATAAAATAATTTAAAAATTAAAAATTGTCATTTGCTTTACTAATAATTTATTTTTAGAGGTAAATATATAATGGAATTGCTGAAGGAGATCTGATTTTTTTCATTTTGCTTATTATATTAATATAACAAATGCTATTAAATTATAAATTTAATTATAAATTTATAGTGACTAGAGATTTGATCTAACTCATTTTACAAGTGAAGAAATAGAGGCCACAGATTTCTTTATTACATATATGTACTGTACATTTCTTTAGTGGTGCTTTTTGTGTCTCTACTATGGCTATTGTTCCAGGTACTGAGGATGTAGTGATGAAAAAAATCTCACATCACTGGGAGATGGAGTTATGTATAAGGAAGTTGAGTTCTATTTCTTCTCTCTTTGGTGCGCTTAATATTCAGAGTAAATTTCCACCCATCAACTTGGTTGAGGGAACCTTTTAGTAAAGATTTGTGAGTTATATTATTGTACTTGAAGGATAGCATTCAAAATATGTTGCAACTGGTATGGCCTGGATGCCAAGCCAACACAAGTTCTGGGTGTAAAGCAGGTGGAGTTCTTCCAGTGCAAGCCAGCTCAATGTCCCTTGTGGTGTAGTTCGGATGAAAAATATCTACCAGATACTAGTTCTTAGTTGTGGTGTGAGAGGTGTGCTGGAAAGATGGTGAATATTTTAATTTTTAAAAATTATACTAAAAAACACATTGCCATTAATGTCTCTCTAAATACTCCCCCTTTCTTCTATCGTGCTTATCCCATTGTTCTTGTCACCTTCTGAAGCAGTTCTTCAAGTCTGCTTTCATGTGTTTCTTTATTTGCTCTGCACTGGCTCCTTCAGTGTCCCAAATCAGTTCAAAATGTTTAACTTTCATGGTTATTTTGACTTTGTGGAAAAGCCAAATGTCACGTGGTGGCTGATCCCTTGAATAAGGTAGATGAGGATATACAGTAATGTTTTTACAAGTGGCATTGTTGGATGGCAACTACAGTCACCATAGTTTTGATTACACCTCATAATGACACTATAGAGGACTACCAGAACTGCCAGAAAGTGGCAAGAACAATGGGGAAAGTGTTTGATGTGAAGGGGAGTACTTTGAAGGGGATTAATCACAATGTATCTTACTGTAATAAATTTATTTCAACTTCTAACACACACGGTACTTTGATCACACCTCGTACACAGGTGGTCACCTATTGTATCTTTTAAAATAGTGCTTTCTTTCTAGAAATTGGATTAAGGCACTCAGCTAAGCACAATTTTCTGTCTTCCATTGTATCTCAGATTCCGGAATAATATATATACCCTTTTAAAAAGAAAGATTCATAATTAGTGAGGAAAACTCCCATAAGTTTATTAGAAAATTGGAAACATGGAAAACAAATAGAATTGGATGGATAGAGAAAACTGCAGCTTGAAGCAGGCTCAGGAGCCTGATCGAGGAACCACTTTTATGGTGTGATTTTCATTTATTTGTTATGGAATATCAAAAAGCTTTGCAAATGAATTATGCATATAGAACCAACACTGGATATCTGCATGAGAGACTAACTTGAAAAAATAAAAGTCACTTTATTTAGATTATGATATCATATGCTGCATACTAAAGCAGAGCTACATATGTGTGATACATTTACAGAGAATTTTCTAGAAAAGAACATCCTCTAGTGGTGTGAAATTGAGCAATGAATGGAATTTATGCATTTTATATTTTATACTTTGATATTATTGAAATTTTTACTTTGGAAACATTTGGTTATTTAAAAAAGAAAACAAAGAGGAGGGTTCCCTTAGGTAATTTAATTTGAGTAAATGAAAGTTTGTTGAGCTCAGCACTAACCATTTATGTGTATGTATGTGTGTGTGTGTGCATGTGTATTATTAGAGGACTTTAAAGGGCTTTAAATTCTCATAGTAATATATTTTCTATTTCTATTTTGGGTGCTGGAGATTGAACCCAGGGGCTCCCACATGCTAAAGACATGATTACCACTGAGCTCCTGTTTTTCCTCATTACTAATGTACATCAAATTCTCTTCACTTGATCTTAGCCAAAAGGCCGAGAAGTGATACATCAAATTCTCTTAATGTGAATATTTCCCCATCATATATACTTTAATAATAGTCCAATTTTTAATATCCATTCTGCTTCATCTTGAAAAACACTAATAATTTACCTGTATTGGTAATTTATTTGGGAAGTACATACCCCTCTTTGTATGAATAAAATACACGAATTGAGTGGCCCAACTTAGTGATACAATCACTTCATATATTCTTCATATTTCTCGGTCTGTATGTGTACTTTTAAATATACCTGCTTATTTAACAATAAAGCCAGTTTTACATAATATTTTTAAGACCTCTTAGTCATCCAGAATATGGAGTAATTTATACAACAGCTTTCTTCAAGTTGCTGAAATAATCTAACAAAATTTTAAAATTCTACTCATAATTCAGAGACTATATAAATAAATTTCTTTACATGTTGACTGTTATGGAAAATTAAAATCTTTAAGACTTCATGAGAGCAGGCTTTGTCAAACAGCACTTCTATGATCTAGAAAATATCAGGTACAGACTTCTCTAAGAAAAGCTATTGGAGTGGAAAATAGAGGGAAATGTATGAAGCTATTTTAAAGGAAACAGTTTTGGATTACGATTAAGAAATAGATAATGAAGAGACTCAAAACTACATGTGGGTATGCTTAAAATGCAAAGTATTATATAAAAAGTTATTTTGATAAAAGGAATTAGAAAAATTGTGAAAGTAAAAGTACAAATTTGAGACTTCCACATTTCATAAAACTTTTATTTCCTTGGTAGCTTTTTCTTTAATTTCATGAGTTTACTTTTTGGTTATTATTTATTATAGTTTTTATTCTTGATGTATGTAATTGATAAGAAAACATTCATTTGTAAAAATGATTTTTTTGCTGATAAAAATTATTGAGATAATATTAATTTTTATTTGATGAGTCAAGAAATAATCATTAGTTTGGCATGCTGTTTTGTCATCACTGATAAATGGTTGACTAAAAAAACTCAATATTGATACTCTAAAGTTAGGAAGGCCTCTGCCCGTTTAATAATATAATACACAGTCAACTTTAAATTAACATATGAAGTGGAAAAGAATATATATGCCATAAAGAAGTTGTATGGTTCCTTTTAAATCCGCATCCTAAAGTAAATGTAGAATTAGGGCATAGAGGCGGAGAAAAATTTTTCTGTACATTTACAGTGGGTAATGCATTACTCTGCTTAAATGTAACATATTATAATTTTAAAAGCTTTAAAGACATCCTTAACACTAGTTTAAAGTTCAGTAAATTCCTTTAGCAATGAAATGGGAAATGTTAGATTCCCTAAAGAAATTATATAGTGATACATAATTGTGGCCCTACTCAGGATAATTCTGCATTTGACAAAGCTCAGTAACTTCTACATGAGAGTTGGACAGGTTAAAGCAATATTTTTCTGCTGAGCATTAATGGTTAGATAATTGATTAACAAAATAATATTTGAAAAATGAAAGTATATTAAGCTTTGTTTTATTATGTTTACATAATTTACGTTTTATAAATATTTCCAAATCATGACATCACAGCCCCACCTTGTGGTCAAAACTGTTAATAAAGTCTAAATTTTAAGCAAAAATCCAGGAGCAGTCTGTTAGTTGTGCTTCAAAATGTTCTGGAAAGCTAATACATATAAAAATGATAGTGATTTGATTACTTTTAGAAATTCCTTTTCAATTTTTGTTGCATGGGACAATATAAGTGTTAAATGGAATTGTTACACTTCAGAGAAGAGCAGATAATTCCAGTTAATACTGATGAAGTGATTTTTTTTCTATTCATATCTATTCTGTAAACTTTTACCATATGTCTAGTAGGGAAAGTGTATATGAATTAATTAAATCAGTATAAAAGGAGACTGAATTACAACAATAAAGTAATAAGGTTGGAGTAGACAAAATAACTAACAAGAATAAATCCATATGGTTGTATTGCAAAAACTTAAGTTTTTATGTCAGAAAAAAATAAATGGAAATTTTTATTGGTAATGCATAGGGTTGACATTGGTAATTCAACACAAAAGACAAAGATTCCTGTGGTAAGGTAAAAAGTTGGGGATGATTCAAAAACTGAAAATAAGAGTTTCTTCTTTCTTTTATTAATGGTAGATTTTATCTATACAATATAATGACATTCATCATTGGAAATTTGTACCTTTACATAATCTCTCTTGGTTCTTACTTTTTCCCCATTCCCCTGCCTTCCCCTCAACTCCTCCATCCCTCCCTATTTACAAAAACTTTGTTTCCATTTTTTCATTTTCTCATATTAATTTCATTCCCTTCTTTCCTTTCCCCACCCTTCTTACTTCCCCTTCCTCTTTGCCCCTTTTTGTCCTATTTCACATTATCTATTATACCTTTTACTCCCTAGTTACACTTCCAGTTTCTCACACTACAGAAACTATTCGGTGTTTATACATGTGTGTCCTATTTATTTCACTTAAGAGTATCACCTCAATGTGCATCCATTTAGCTAT